CCAAGATATGACTTATATTTTTAAACAAAACAACAGTCACTTATATGTATTACTAGTTCATTTTACTTCAATAGCTCTACTGACACTGTTACAATGTATAGTTCATCGTTCTTTTATATCTTTGTATCCGTAAAGAGACCAGAGTTCAGGTCATAGAGATGAACTGAATTTATCTGCATATATTTTATTCACATTTATCACTGAAAAGATTTTTAACTTATCGTGATTTAATTATTATGTTATATTAGACGCAAAATTTATCGAGTACCCAATTACTAATTAAAATTACTAATTATTCGGTCGTGATAATACCTACGTATTTGACGGAATATCTCTGCCATTGAGCTAAGTAAAATGGTTATTACATAGTTACATGACAGACACAGCGAAGATAGCCTTGACAGTGTTCATGAAATTTTGCGTCAAACACTAAGTTATTCGTTGGTACAATAGAATACACTGATACATTTGGAGAGCGGGCGAGTGATAAATGGATTCGAGCAAGTGTAATAGTTTATTTGCATCTTTCGTTCGCGAACTGCCCATGCCAAGTTTGTACAACCTTGTGAGCTTGAGCAAATCTTTCGACGTCGTATGCCTAAATAGGACAAGGAGAAAATAGTTTTTACATAGTATTTTTTTATAGAACGAGAGTCACAAACGAGCACACAGACCACTTGATGGTAAGTGGATGGTGTGGCCCATAGACATCAACATTTATTCTCGATTAAGATTCAAAATGCAGATGCGTTGTCACCCCTGAGGACTAAAATGGAATGGAACAAATAATAGAAATAACTACGGTGAATATCCTCCATATGTGCCAATGTATGAGCAAAATTATTATTTACGTGGTAGAGCCACGATGCACCTATATTATGGTTGTAGCTTGAATGGGTCGGCTCGGAGTAGGACCACGCTCTCGTGGAATACCAGCGTAAAATAGAAGCTTAACGCTGCTGTGTTTATTACGGTAAGTGTAAAGACGCGGAGACCCATTTTTTTACTGGACACGACATCTTCCATCTTAATCCAGTGCATCTGCATTTTGATTCTTAATCGAGAATAGATGTGGATGTCTATGGGCCAAAGCATCCGCTTACCGGAGTTTTGGCGCGAACTTGACCGTAGACGGATTGTCGCTTCTGTTTTGTCGCTTGAATAATGGTTTGAAGTGGATTTTGATTCGTAAAAGTGATGCGATTTTGTGAATTAAGTGTTCGCGCGTGTAAACTATTAGAGAAAACGACGAAACAAGTGCTTTGATGTCGATATCAACCTCAAGTATTTTGTACGCTTGGGCGCCTTATGAACTTGAGTGGCTGTCGTCATCAACTGTACGCTAGGTTGAGCTGTCGTCAAAATCTCCCAAGGGCTTCGCAATGTGACGCATCAGCATATTGTGAAGAAAAAGAACATAAAATGAAGATTCCCAAAGAAAGGATAGGCTCAGAAGGTCTAGAAACCAGAGCCGTAAAGCCAGTTAATAAAGAAAGAACATCCGCTTACCATCAGATTGACGTCTGCTCGTTTGTCATCCTCTTTCTTTAAAAAAATACCGTTACTGACAATTTAAATTAATGATCTTTAAATTAATTATAATTTTTATTGGTGTAGGCACCGGGGATGTAACTCAGTTTCTCGAGTTGAATCAAATGCATTTCATGTAACCTACAGACTCCTGACCTGCCATTGCTCTCATTAAATATAATTTAGTGTAAGTTATTAACTTTTTAAAGGGTTTGATTGTTTATAAGCCTAATTCTACTTTTAATTTTCAGTCGGTCTCATATCGCGCGTCTGCAAGGACCCTGCAACGTTCATTATTTTGGAAGAACATCAAAATGTATGTGATACTGACTGTTGTAGTTGGTTTTGCCATTTACCTCATTGGAGCGATGGTATGCGGTGGATTAGCGTGGAAATCTTGTGTCGCTTGAGTTTTTATATATTGATTTAATTATTTTCAATGCGATGTATTTCATTTCGAAGATTTGTTATTAGACGAACATATAGCTTTCTTAATTTCTCAATAACCTTTAATAAGCCAAAATTAAACTTCAAAATATTTGTTATTGTTTCCAACGACAGAGTTTAAAGCAAAATAAAGATGTTTTTATACTTAAATTGCTTACAAATTGACTTGATTTCATTCAAAACGATTTGCTGATGACATTTGAAATTCCTCCTTAATTTGCAACAAGATAAAAAATGTGCTCATCGAAGATATCATATAATGTTGTTTTATATAAAAGGGTATGATTCAGCTAGTTGCTTACTAATACGAGAAATATGTAAAGTAAATTTGTTACATATTTGATTAATTTGATAATTTATTCATGCGGTAGATACATTCACTTAATTAAATCCTGGAAGTGTTGTTAATTGATTTTATTATTGATATGGGTTATTAATATAGTATTCTCGACTGAATACAAAAGAACATAATAAATATAGTATAATAAATATATAAAAGATACATAAATAAATAAAATCCAACTAGATGGGAAGTCCTCGGCCAGGGAGACCAAATCACTGGGGCTAGGGAAGAAAGGGAAAGAAATCAGTGGACGAGGAGCATCGCCTTCTTCATTTGAGCCTGGAGCGGTCTGTAACGGAGTCCCAGTCGCCTCCTCAGGTGATCCCGTGACCGGGATTAGCCCGTTCGTAAAAACTACTACAGGAATAATATCGGTCGGCAGACCATCCCATATGTCGGTCACCTCGTGAGCCAGTTTCAGATATTTTGTTCGCTTATATTTCGGCTTTCAAGATGTTTTCGTCATACGGATCCTTGACTGTACCTACTCCATTAGCGCAATGTCATCATTCCGGGCTTATTCGCAACAATAGCCTAGTCTGTGATGATGTCCCGGTCGCAGTCGCAGACATCTTTCATGGTCATTGATTATACTGATATTTGTCATGAGGTGTCAAAAGCTGAAATATTAAAAGATTTTGATTAAAAAGGTAGTTAAATCATACATCGTGTGTGACAGTGAATTTATTATAAAATTTAAACGTTGTCCTCATTTTTAATATTATAAAATACCGCAACGTATTGTTCCTTAATAATAATAAGCCATATTATGTGTATATATTATTGTGTTTTAAGTAATAAACTTTATTAAATTTATTTCAATGTGTGTTGTAATAAATATTCAATAATTATTATTGGACCAAATACAGTTATTGTTAAGTATTAAAAATTCTTTTAGGTTTTAATTTTTCAGTTGGTACTTATTTTACTGTATAGGTAAAAAGAGTTGTTTAATAGGTACAATGGGACTGACATGTTAAAAATTACCTAAGTCCCTAAATTAAAAAAAAAAAGAATTAAAAAATGTTTTTATAACACATCACTTGCCAAATTAGCATCATTTAATTTCTATCACATTTTTTAACTTTCTGTAATTTTAAGACAAAGTATTATATTTTACACAACTATAGTATCGCATTATCTGAAACAGATTTTAACTATTATGAACTAAGTTAATTCACTTTTTGACCATATTTAATAATTTTCAAGAAAGCGAATTTTTGGTTTATTTTATTATGTAATTTTATTTAACCCAATTATATTATTATAAAAGACTTAAGTATTGTGATATCATCATATAAGTATATTGTTAATTTGTTTACTATATTATAATAAACTTATAGAGTATGTAGGTCACATTATGTTGTTTAATTTCTGAATCCTTTTGTCCTGTATCGATTAGATGCATTGATGTAATAATTGACGCTTGTTTAAAAATAAAAAGCCGGCTTTTTAAACTAGGAAGTGAATTATTTCCATAGAAAACCTTACAATGTCAGTGCCACCCTGTCCAAATATCGGGTTGGTCCAATACCGGGAACGCGAGTGATTGATCCCGGCCGGGAGGGTTGTTCCCCGCCCTCCCGTACGTCCGTTCGCCGGTGCCTCCCGGCAATCGCGCGCCAACCATCGCCTCGAGAGGGCGTCGCGGTGTTGATTGTGCTCTCGTCGAACACGTGCTTACTACGCTACAATACGGCGTTGTGTGTGTGTGTACGTGAGTTACTCGACGGAATTACCCTGTGACGATACGCGCACGACGCGCGGCGGCAGTATGCGTGACTAGCATAGGAATCGTTCGCAATCGCATTGCGTAGCGTGAACATTAGTATGTTTGTTGCGGTACGTTATTGTTGTTCTCTGGGGATCGGAGACGATTGATACCATGCTTACGGATGTGGTTTTACGTCAATGCATACCGTGGTTTGGTCGAGTAATTTATATACTCGATACATATATTTAATTACGTTAATTACCGTCTCAGTTGAGACGGGATTTCGTTTTAAGAGATTTTTGTTAATAAATTTTAAAAGTAAATAGTTTTTGTTGTATATTTTACCTCGGTATGACCAGTATTCATTGCCTTTAAACAATAACATACACAACTGTTCACGACAAGATAGACCTCGAAGAGCCAAAATAAGCGGTTACATTTCGATTAATAAATATCTAATATCATCATAGAATCTTTATAATTTTGCCTTTAATAAATAGCACATATGATACCATACGATAGTTTGTTGTAAGTCACTTCTCTTTGTATATAAGAGCTTGTTCATAATGTAACTGGAAACTGTTTCTTTTTTGGGGAAGTGATGAGCCGTTTTCGGGTCATTGTTCCTATCCTAATTGTTTCTTATTACATTATTTTTCTGTGTTTCTAAAAAATATTGTTGGCCGTTGGTATAAAAAATATTATTGACTTAACTTTTTAGCGGGTTAAAAATTTTCATTCATTTAACTTGAATTAAAGTGCCTTAGATACTTCAATTCATTGAATGAAATGCTGTTTGTTTTAAATATTTAAACTTCCGGATTCAATGTTTCAAAGTTGAATAAAAAAAGGGTTAATGTAAGCAATAATTAACCAAAACGCTACGCTTAAAAATGAACTTAAAAGTCATTGTAATGAATGTCGATTCAACTATTTAAGTGCCAAGTTAAAGTATAGAGTGTGAAAATGGATGATAGTTCGCCGGACCTGTCGCTGAAATTGCGACGGGGCTCCAGCGACTCACGGGAGTCTTTTTACATGGACTTCGCGCAAGGAATCGACTCGGATATAGAAGAAGTAACGACGATCGAAAGAATTATTCCTGAACATCCGGGTGGGAGAACGGAGGGCGATTCTGACACACTCGCGACACCTTCCGGTCTCGATGACAAAGATCTGGCACAATAGTAAGTATAAAAATAAATAAAAGGAGTAACGAGAATGTTTTGTTAAAGAGTACATTAAATTATAAAATCATGCTTTGGCTCCATCTGACTTAATATAGCAAGTTGTTTTTTTTTTCGTGTAGCCGATTTAACGCCGCTTATGCGATGACGTTGGAGGCAGGCTGGAAGGAAGTTAGATACACGGAACAATTACAAACATGGTCAGATCCCAAAATATTGTATTCGGCTGGGATTCCAACCCATGGTCTGCGTAATCGTAGCTTTATACTTTAACCGTTATTACTTTTCTTTATAGGATAAGGTTGACTAACGAGCACTCAGTCCATCTGATGGTAAGTGGATGCTGGGGCCCATAGACATCTACATCTATCCTCGACTACGAATCAAAATGCAGATGCGTTCTCACCAGTGAGGACTAAGATGGAATGCCTCGTTTCCAGTGAAAATGGTTTCTAGATCTCTACAATCACCATACGAAGCACAGCAGTATTAAGCTGCTATTTTACGCTGGTATTCTGTAAGAGCGTGGTACTTACTGCCCCGGTCGAGTCGACCTGCTACAACCATAATATAGCTGCAGCGTGGCTCTACCACTTAAAAGTCTCCGTCGCGGATTTACGTACCTGATTGAAATATGTTATGCTGCTGTTTCGAATGGTGAGCGTAGAGAACCGGAAACTCTAATACTGTAAATGTGGCATTCCACCTTAGTCCTCGGCGGTGACAACGCATCTGCATTTTGAATTTTAATCGAGGATAGATGTAGATGTCTATGAGTCTCAGCATCTACTTACCATCAGGTGGACTGTGTGCTCGTTTGTCACTTAATCTAAATAAAAAGCACTAGGTACTGAACATAGGGTGTCACTTATTCTAAATAAAAAGCACTAGGTACTGAACATAGGGTCTTCGCCACTGATGGTAAAATTTGCTTATCTAGCTTTTGATGATAATAATAATCAAAGATAAACAACCATTGGATATACTTTTTAAAGGGTGGCACCGTCGACATGTGTCGAGCTTGCATTCATCCCGGTGAGTCACTTAGGCATGACATCTTTAGTTGTTCGGCGCTTCCTTACTGAGTATTTGCACAGACACAACGTAGACCTACGCCTAGGCTAACCGCTATGGTGACATCGCTCCCGTCGCGTCGCTGGTTGTCAGGGGTCTCTTAAGAGACCGTAATTTCCTTAAGGCGGTCTCACAACACGGCAACACCATTTCATTTTACTTCATTATTATACACTTGATAATTTTCTTCTAGCAAAATAATTTGGGAATTTAAATATAAGAAATGTCGTTTTTCTCTTTGAGGCGTAGAAGATCTCTGGTACTAAGCAATATTATCGTGTATGCCAGTGTTGTTTTATATTTTGACCTGTGTATATGAAGATTACACCAGTTTTCTCTATTTGAACTTGACTGGAAGTGTTCGATTGACAATATTTAAGTAAGAGCTGTCTTGCGTAAAGAGGATCATTTGTAAATCATGGTTTTCGCAGGGCAAGAGTTTCCGTAGAATGAGCACATCTCTTTCAAAGTTATTTGAAAATGTTTTACCTTTTTTTAGACGGAACTTACCGTTACCGTTACAGCCTATCAAAGTTCACAGCTGAAAATAGGCCTCCCCCATACATTACCTCCTAGGTGGATATTTGCCATAGTTTCCACGCTTGGCAAATGGGTTGGTAACAACAGTTTTTTTATTTTTAATTGTCATTAGGAAGACGCTGCTGCCCATCTTATGATTTGTTTCCATCTGTCACCAATTACGACACCCACGTGATGATATGGGGCAGTCAAAATTCTTACACCGCCACTACTTAATGACGGAAAACTATACATTCTTCATTTTTAGCGTTCCATAACTCGAAAGGAAGTAACAGAATCATTATCGGAGTTTGTTATCCGTTTGTCCGTCATATCAAGACCCTTTTTCTCAGGAATGGATAAAGGTAACAAGTTTAAATTAATATCCAATAATTAGGTGTATTGTCCCTTTGTAAAAATGGTGTAAAAATTTCAAGCTTCTAAGTCAACTCAATGAAAAGATTACAATCATGTATGTAAATATTTTGATACTCGCAAACTTGCTCATTAAAACCTTTAGGGTACCCGTTGACCTAATATCAATACTGTAATATAGCAAAAGTAATGTAAAATAATCCGAATACCCTTAATTTGTATTTGAATCACATAGAAATTATATTTTTTTGCGGTCACAAACTTATTTTTTCAGTTCGAGCATCGATCACGATATATACCGATGTATGGGAGAACCTGTTTTACACAGCAAAGATAAATTTGTCCTTCGATTCGACTTACCTTTTCGTTGGAGCAATGTTAGAAAGGTTTACAGAAAAGTTTGGTTCTTACCTTAATTACATACAAACGGCTCTTACCTTACCTCTAATGTATGAATTTCAGTAAGTTAGATTATTTGAATTAAACTTCAAATTACGTTGATAAAGTGAATATTAATAATGACAGCGTTTTAAATTATTTTGGTGAAAATATACGTATCTATTATACATAAATGAAAATTATTTTTGTATTTTACGACATTGGTATATCGGTACTATCGAAAACATGCAAAAATAGTCATATCTCGATCCCCGGTTGAATGAACTGTTCACATACATAATTAAGTTTGTCCGGACCCCTCAGGGCGCGAGTCCATTTCGTTCCAGTCTTGTTTTTTCAAATTACCTTCTCGATTTTCTTGTTTAATCAACAATAGCTCAATATAATCATTCGATTGTTGTTAATAGGTATACAGTACAGATATAAAAAACAGACAACTTTACTACCTTGCACTTTCATTCCGCGGATATATCGATCGATCATATAATAAACAAAAGTAATTATGTATGTAAATAGGGTTGCCAGGTATTAAAACTGGAAAGCCGGACAGACCAGCGAGCTTAGCTGGACATTTTGGTAAAAGAGTAATTAAATTTTTTAGTCATAACATATAACATGACAATTTTTTTATGTAAAACAACGCTTTCTATCTATTACCATAAAATTTTCTTAAATTCTAATGAAATAAAAATAAAATTGAATAAATCAGTCTTCATCATTCAATATTTACTACAGTATTAATTTCAATAATTGCAATAATATGTATGTAAGTACATGAAAAATGTAAAGATTTGTCAAATTTAAAAAGCCTAACAAAAGTCGGACAGGCCGGACACCGCCTAATTTGATCGGACACGCAACCAAAAAACCTGACTGTGTCCGGCTTTATCCGGAAGCCTGGCACCACTATATGTATTTATCAAAAAAGAATCGTAATTTTGTAATGTATTTTGTAATTTATCAAAAAAGAAAAAAGACGATCGAAAAAGAAGAATTGTATAAATAATTGTTTGCTATTATTTTAAAGTGTGTGTCTAGTAAAATTATTAGTGAGTAGTGACTCGTCCGTTCTTCACCTGGAAGGGATCTAACAAAGCGGCGTTATTTGAATTTAAGTTAATCAGAAAAAAAACACATTTTTCGTTATTTTTTAAACTTTCCGAGATTTTCGCATAAAATAATATAGCCTAGCCAAGATCCATCCTGGCATTGCTCTATATGTGTTCGTAGTTTCTTTACAACCGGTTCAGTCATTTCGGAGATTATCCTGGTCAGTCAGACGGATAGACAAAAATTAAAAAAAATTGGTTGTCTTAATAGCATGCAAGTTTAGCTTAATAGATACCAGTTATTTTAATACGAATTAGGGACCTTCAAGAAAAGAGCCTGCTCCCTTTTTAAAGGCCGGCAACGCACCTGCAGTTCCCCCAGTTGTAGTGTTGTAGTTGTTCATTGACGGCGGTAATCACTTACCATCAGGTGAGCCGTATGATCGTTTGCCACCTCCTATAAAAATGATAACAGACATACACTTCAATTTTTAAATGTGTAGACTATTTTTACTTTTATGTATTTAGACGTTTCACTGATTTCGAAAAGGTGTAACTTATTAGGTCATTTCTGTTCCAGTTTTGACTTTGCAAAACGAAATATATACTACTCAAGTTGTTAAGAATTACTTCGCACACATCCGCTCAATACTCGTAAAATAAAATGATGTGGCTTACCCAGTTTGAAGAGCACCTCCCTCCCTCCCGCTATTAGCGGTCAGCCACCACAGAGTCTACATCACCTGAGGATGCTTCGTGTAGAGGCGAAACACGTGTATTGTCGTCGATGGTGTGTCTTTCCTAGTGTAGTGGTGTTGGGAGTAGTTGTGCTGAGATTAGTGGTGACGGGATTAGTGCACGCAATTGAGGGAGTGCCCTCCCAACTAGGTAAGACACATAATTTTATTTTATTGAGCAGATGTGTGCAAAGTAATTCTTAATTACTTTAATATAATGGATATACGCAAAGTAACGTCTGATTCTATTAATTAAATATATACTAAATTATGTTTTATTTTTTGTAACCAAATTTCTTGTAATCGAAATGCTATGAGAACGAGTGTAAATCCATTTATAAAAATTAACATTATGTTTATGGCTATATTTTAATTTAAGGAAAAATACTTTGTTTACAATAAAAAACATTACATAATAAATTTGATGACAGTTTTGCTTCAGCAGAATTAGAATCCATTAAACGACTAATAGCATATCGTGCGAACGGATTAGAACGGGTTTTAGCGATCCCATGACATATGGTCTCAGTTATCTGACCCTAGGGTTCTTTACGGAGAAAGCCTACTAGCTCTGATACGACCCGTCAAACGGGTGTTGTTGACATACATTCAGGCGGGCCTAAGCCAGATCTCTTTGTGTTCTAATACAGAGCGTAGATAATTGTAACAAATTTCTATTTAGTAATCTAACTGTTTTTAGATTATGAACCCTTAATGGGTTCATATCTAAAAACAGTTAGATTTTGTTGGTATGGCTTGATCTTTATTCATTGGCCTAATTTTTGAACACAACTACACTTTTGGCGTCCTAGAGGTCGAATCTACTACATACATAACATATACATAAA